TTCCTCCCTTCCTTCGTGAACATAAGGCAAGAGTCCCAAAAACAGCCTTCTTTGCTCCTCCTATTTGGGTGGGAACACCCAAGTATTTCTCATGGTATGGTAATTGTTTTATGTTCAACATTGTAGCAATTTACCACCTTTTCATCCTTTACATTACTAATGTGGGAGATTCCAAGTTTTCTAGATTCAACTATTGTCCTGGTTCTACTTCATATGTCTCCAAGATTATCTACGATACATTCTTTTCCTCTTTGTCTTTGGCTGTCGGTGCTTATAGACCCTCCACATACAATAAAAACAAGTGATTGGATATAGGACCCCCCGGACATAGAGCCTCCTCACATTATAAAATCTCAGATTGGTAGCCATTTACGAGAACATTAGAGGATAATGTGGTGACAGAACTCATTATAATATCACCCAGTTGGCATCAAACTCGAGTTTCAACATGATATTCTCCAGGTACTCCCCTTACATCCTATCATAGACTTTAACTATGTATATCTTTTCTTATAGTTAGCCTTTATTGCTTTGATACGATTTTTTGTTGCATTAAAACATTCTAAAGCCACCATCATATTATTAGTAATAGAGTACCTCATACGAAATCACTCTGTTCCTCAACAATGACTTGATCTAATATATTTTAGCCTATTCGCCAGTACCTTCGACATTAATATATATAGGACCTTACATAGACTTGTAGGGCTAAGATCCAAGGGGTATTTGGTTTCTTGGTTTTGGAGATAAGTGATATAAGGGTATGGTTCAATTTCTACAGAACAGTACCTTGATCTAGATAGGTTTGGAGCTCAAAGTTTACTATCGACCCTGAAACCCCACCAATTTTTATGAAAAAATAGAGCTGGTTTACCATCTACTCCATGCGATGTATTTGGTGCCATCTACTTCAATGTTGACCGCATTTTCTCTTCCACAAAAGGTCAAAGAAGCTCTTCATTCATAGTTTTCGTAACCTTGGTTGGCAGCTCCTCTAGAATAATGTATGTAGGTGGTCATGAACAAGGGCTTGGCCTAGTGGTAATACCACTGTCCTAGAACATGGAGGTCCCGAGTTCGAATCCTTTAAGTAGTACCTTAATCACAAAAATGAAACCTATATCACCCTTATAAGAAAATGTATGTAGGTGGTCTTGGTTCTAGGGTTTATAGGAATTTTAGATAGGATACATACATGAATGCACCTCCTTTTATCTATGATAAACTCTTCCTTGTAAATCTTTCAACTCAGTTTGGTATTCCTTAGTCTTCACTATGGGGATTTCCTATGGAAAAAACATGTATTCATATCCCCTCCCTCACTAGCCAGCTCTAGACCTCTTCTTCCACTTTAATTCTTCCACGAATATGAGTTCCTTATGCTCTTTCTCTAAAGCTTACGTCTGAATTATCACCGCTCTATTTTTTTTTTTTCAAGATCGCTAAAGATTTTCCATTTTTTTCTTCCTTGTTTTGATGGTACCAAAGGTATCTTGACTCCACTTGAGTAATCTATGTTCACAATTGGCTATCTTCTAAATCGTGGAGACATAAGCCCGTCAACTCTACTATTATTTGATCACCTTCACACAATCCTCATGCCTTGGCTAGTAGGGTTCATATCCGAATGACTAACCCACCTGATTGGATTCTCTTGTAACTCAAGCTCCATATACAGTTGAGGAGGTCTTTTCGAATTGCCTAAGTAGTTTATTCCAGTGGATGATAATATCCAGGCGTCGGGTACACTACTCAAGAGGATCTAGAGTGATTTAGTCGAGCCTCCAGACTATCTCAAGACTTTCCATGGTATAAACATCAACTAAATTGAATTCGGTGAACTACAACTTAAACTAATTGCAGACTAGGGGGGATGCTTACCTGAGTGGTCTTTCTCGAATTTGGAAATCAGAATATTTACCTGCTTTCACTTCTGTTTGGCATACAAACAACTTCTCTACACTTTGACCGCTAGATAATATATAATTCACCGAGTAGTCATTACATCTAGGACCCGGGTTGATAGGTAAAATTGAACCCAATATACTACATTCCTAAGTTTCCATTACACTTGATAATTTCTTAAGGTGTTGGTATTTGCGAGACCACCAGAGGGTAATTTCTTTACAACCTAGATGTCACTTAGCACAGTGCATATGGTAGTATACTATAGAGTCATAAGCATCCATGATAAGAAGTATTGACCTAAATGAACATCAAAATCATATACATAGATATCGAAACATAAAGAATCCATGCATACGTATAGGATATCAAAATTTAGACGCATCAACATAAGCATAATATGAAATCATAACATCCATACATACAAGATAAATGAGTTCACTTTCTCATACAATTAATTTCAAATAATCTAAACATAGAAGTGAAGGAGGGTAATTCCTTAACAACCTAGATGTCACTAAGCACAGTGCATATGGTAGTATACTATAGAGTCATAAGCATCCATGTTAAGAAGTATTGAACTAAATGAACATCAAAATCATATACATAGACATCGAAACATAAAGAATCCATGCATACATATAGGATATCAAAATTTAAAAGCATCAACATAAGCATAATATGAAATCATAACATCCATACATACAAGATAAATGAGTTCACTTTCTCATACAATTAATTTCAAATAAGCTAAACATATAAGAGAAGGAGGGTACCACCATCGATGATGAAAGCATCTTACACCCTCTCTTACGAATGCTAATCTATCACTCGAGAATAGTGTTTACAGAAGTTTTGTGTGAATTTGTGCATCCTACTAAACTAATGAGGCTAGCCCTCTATTTATATAGTAGAACTCGGCCAAAACCCTCTTAAAACCACTACGAAAAGGTTTCTTTGACTTGGGACCGAAGCATGACCTAAAAATCTTCTATGGGGGCTTGGGCCTCATGTCGGAACTGTCGCCCCTTTTCTTCTTAGGATGGCCTCCTTGGCCCATGGACAACCTCTCTGAAGATTTGGGAGCGAGTTATCTAGGTTTCCATAAGCGGGTTGGACCATATGTTGCGCCGCTACAAATTTTTGCGCCTATTTGAGCCGAGTTTTCCTCCATTGGGCTCTACTTATGGTTATTAGTAGACTCTCCGTCATTTGACCCCGTCTTTATCATGAAAACTCCATAATCCTCTCTTTATAGCTCTTTTGGTCCTCTAGAGTTGTCTAATGCTTGATCCATGGTCCTTGGTCATGTTGTTCCTGCAAAGCCACAAAAGATATACCAAGAAGGCATCAAAGAGTACAAAAACAAATCAAAGGTCTACAAAAAGCATCATTGATAAAATAGTTATGATTTACGTATGAATTACATGAGAAAGTACTAAAGATGCATAGATAAAAGGGAAATTGTATCAAATATTAGAGTGATAAACACTATAAATAGAGTGTCATCATCACAGTGCCAACTCCAAGAATGTAACAAAGGCTTTATTACCCCAGCTCAGCCAAAGTAAGGAGGGTGAAAATTTCTTGAAAATAGTTACTTTTTGTGGCTATAAATAGAGCAGTGTGATGACAAATAAGGGTTCACAAAAATCACAACTCAACAACACTTGTATATGGTAAGTTTTGACCCGCACGAAAGGCGTAACAATTTGGGCACTGTCTTAGTGGTCAAATTTTTACATTTTCTTTGTAATTTTAGTCATAATTGATTTATAGAGCAATGATTCAACTTTCATGGAGTAGATTGATGTAATGTAGTTTGTCTCAAAACCACTAAACATGAAACACCCTCGTCTGAAATGCGGTCAAAGAGGGGTTGAGCTGTATTTCAACGATCATTATCGAAAGAAGTCAAGATATGTGCAATTTATTCAAGTCAATAGAAGTTCTTGCTGGAAAGCAATAGCAAACCCCCCTCTCCTTGATTTTGACTGATCATATAGTTAGTTAGTTATTTACCACTTAGTCCTATTAGATCAGGGACTTCAATTTATCACGCTATTTATGGTCTTGATTGTCAAACTCTAATAGTTAATACATTCGAATATAAATTTATATTAGTAAAAAAAGGGCAAGCTTAATATGTGTCTCATTTGATTAAACAAACATTATTCCTGGCCAATTTGTAAAGTCCCAAACAATATTGTTTGGTAGTCCTCTATAGGTAGCTATACTCACTTCTTCCTGGTTGTTATGTAATTGGTAGTCATTTGTTACAAGAGAGTTACGTGTGTATTCGACCTTGTAAGCTAAACCATCTCCTCATGACTATCTATAGTATGGAATTATTCATTGCATAGGCTACACATTTATCAAGTGCATCCTACACATTTAACAATGGCATCCTTTACGTTAAATGCAGTAGACGCCATTCAACTTTCTAGAAACCCATTTGGAACTGTGTACTCTTTTATTCTGAAAGGCTCGACTGTAACTAAAGTATTGGTTCCTAATTTAGGATTCTAGATTCGTCAATAGTTCAGAATAAGAAAGTTAGATCGCCCGTCACAATTACTCTATCAAATCAATGTCGATTAGCTTTTACGAGTTCTTCAATAGTGTGCTCGTGGTTTGCAATTAGTATTAATCAGCCATGAAAAGGGTCTAGTACCACTGCTTCTTTTCTTGTATAGGTCAGGGAATAATGCAGTGTGCCTATTCTTGTGCTGCTTTTATGTTGGCTACCGATTACCGAATGTTGCTTTTGTAGATTGTTCGATTATCAATCAAGGAAATGAACAAAGTCAATGTTGTATGTATAGTGTAAAAATGGCAAGAGCTAGTTAATATGGGCAGAGATCAAGAACTGTCACATAAATGACATGGTTTGATTAAGATCTGACATCAACACACTGAACCAAAAAATATTAACTAGAAAAAGATAAAAATTTGCAGACATTAAGATAAGTAACTAGGCATTTTACTGCAACAATATTTAATTCGACAGTTAGCAACAGATGTTTCTCTCAGTCTCTGCCTCTGTTCCAAATGATACTGAGCGGTATCAACAACAAGTAAAGCTCGAACTAACACTAGCACGAAAACAAGGTTCCTCCCATTACCGGCTGGGTCATCGTCGATCGGCAAGGTGGCAAACACCAAGCCGTCGGAGTCGGCGGTACCCTAGCGTCAATGATCTGGATCTCAGAGGATGCTCTGTCTTGTTTCCTTCTCACCGAGCAGATCACAAGATCTGTGGCAACGCTGTAGATGACACCGTCGAGCCGGTACTCCGTCATTGAGAATCCATCTCCGGCTTCCTTGTTCCTCGCCGCCGATCTCAGGTTGGAACGGTAGGTAAAATTTTGCTTCGACCCAATCTGGACCGCCTAGCCGGAGAGAATCCATCTGGGTCATCCTTGCTGGACTGCCACGTGGCCTTGGAGCCAACGGTCCTCTCAGCCCTACCACCACTACCGTCTAATTCCCAGTTCTTCGTCTTGGCCTTCTTCAATCTGGTGAAGAAGTACAACTATGATTCCCCTGTTTCAACAAACCGCTCCTTCCAAGCCTTGTCTTCACCATAAAGGTCGCAATCAATCACCGGATTTTAGGGCAAAGCATTGCCCATGACCTTATCGAGGAGATAAGTGATGATTTGGTCGTCTGTGGGCTAAAATCGAACCCCAGGCGCTATTCCCGAGATGCTCATTCTTGCGGCAGCGATGGTGACAGTGAAGTAATTCCTTTTGGTTTCCTTAGCTTGGTCTCGATTGAAGTCCCTGATTAATCACCGTCATCACTGATGTCCATCATCGTACTTTCAGCGTGGATTGGGAAGGCCACGATGATCGACTCGCAAAAAAGTGGAGCTCTTACTATCGGCCAATTATTAGGCGATTAGGGTTAGAGACGTAACTTGAAAGGCTTGCCCATTGTGATGTTTACAAAGGCTTTACCAATGGACTGACTGTTGACCTATTCATATAAGGATTAGGAGGATGCTTTTTCCGTCACCGGCAAGGAAGCAATGTAGAAAAGGTGGGAGAGGATTCAAGTAACTTTGTCTGGCAACTGGCGGGGAAGGAATCGAGCAACGGTCTAAAAATAAGATAATCGTGGGCTTTCTTTTCTCCCCTTATTGTTTCTGCTGCAAGTATAAAATGGGCTGAAAGCCCGGTAATCAATAGGAGAAATGTGGGTTTATGGTTTGGACTTTGGACGGATGGAGGAATGTGGTGCTCATGAAATGTGATTAATGGATTCAGAACTTTGTAAAAACGAACAATCGACAGTGAAAATGTGACCTCTGGCACTAGCATGAGATTCAGGTCACATCTTTATACTTCAACATTTTATTAATCGTTTAAGCTATAAGCAATAGGTTAGCTAAGTCACTTCCAATTATAAAACATGTAACCATGTCCGCATGCTGCAATCTGTAGTAATCATTCATACCCAAAAGGTCAAACAAATACTAAACAAGAGAACCACCGGGGACAACTGGACGCGAATCAAAGAAAATCATATGCATATATCTCACTATTGATAAGAAACCATATTTATAATTGTTATTTAATATAAACCAAACTTTCTCTATACATGGCGATCCACGTATACACAGCCGTCGTGTATTAAGATTTTATATTTCCGACTGTCAGTATCATATAATATGACTTGGTCACCCATTTGAGCGATAATCTGGCCATTCTTCTAGTGTCCTATCATATATGCGCTTTCAGGTAACGGTCCGAAGCTGCAATGTTTGATCCAACACGACTATTCCTGCAGATTGTGCGTCCTACCTAGCAGCCACATACCAGTACGTAAATATGTGTGCAAATCAAAGAACGCAACTGAATCCATATATATATATATATATATATATATATATATATATATATATATATATATATATATATATAGTGAGCATAGATGATGCAAATGTATCAAAAGCAAAATTTATCTTGTGGAATGCATTGCTCCACATGTCAAACACCATCAAATGATTAGCGTTCCTATCATCAGGGTCTTCAATATACAACTAGTATAAGAGCCCCTTAAAGTAGGTACCAAGATGATATATGTTGGGCCTCCACTAGATTGATTGGCCTTCGAGAGCATTACAACTCTCGTCACCGGGGTGCAGTAAGACCGATTACATGATGTGGGGTTTATTAGGTATACGGAAGGTGCAAAAGAGGGAGGCATTGGTTGCAGGGCGATTGGTGTAGTTCTTGAGGTGCATAGCTACGAGGTATGGGCTTGTTGTATTTGTGGCGTCCCAATTCGTGCAGACGGATTTGAAACGGAATAGAGCTTTCACAGGTAGACGAGACAGAATGTCAACCACGATCTCGGGAGGAACATAAAGACCAGATTCTACTACTTCGAGGTTGCCGGTTGTAGAATCCTTGTTCACGCGGGCGGGCTAGCCAGCTGCTCGCTAAGGAAACACATATTGCAAGTTTTGGAACATGTACATAGATCGTCTTCCCCGTGCTGGCGCTATCGGCGATTGGGTTTGCCTCTTCCGGTTAGGATTTGGAAATGTTTGGGAATTTGAGAGCGATGGGGCACACTCAGACGAGTTTTCTTTCTTTCGTCCGCTGTACACCTAGAAACGGGTGATTTTATCATTTTGAGAGTGATATATAAAATGCAAGGTTGTCAACCCGCTGGTCGACCTAGACCTGGATGAGCTAGTGGGTCAAGGGTGAATGGGTCACCCGGATTAGCTTGGATTAGCTCGGATTAGCCCGGAAATATGAAAAAAGTCAATGTATTATACTTATCCTGAATCCAACATAGAAAAAATGCAACACTACACAATTTTTTAGGGAATTTGTGTTGATTATTACTGTAACTTACACAAATTTTGGGGTTTGAATTTGACGAAATTTATTTGGCTCCAAAAAATGAACCACCCACCCAAGTTTCCCCCAAAAATTTCTCCCTTTATTTTTTTTCTTTCCCCACGACCATCAGACCATCTCTCTCTTTCTTGCCTCTCACCCCTTTTCCCCTCTCTTTCCTTTACTTCTTCCTCTTCTCCGAACAGAGAAAAACACCGCCCCAAGCCCAGCTTCTTCCATTGTCATGAGTCTCTCCACAAATCCTAACCAAACCTCCCTTTGTTCTCCGCGATTATCAAACAGGTCCAGATGGATCGTTGGCGGAAACTCGGAGATCCAGCGACGACCTGACTTGCAAAGATCCGGTGACGACCTGGCTTGCGAATATCGACGAGCCGAGGAAAGGAGATCGTTTGCGGCTGGCGCGCGGTCGTCGATTGCTGGGAGGAAGACTCCGACGACCTGCGGCGGCGGTCTATGCTGGGGAGAACGCTCCAAAATCGAAACGGCGCCACACAGAAAGGAGACCCGCTAACCCTCTCCCTCGGTCAAACTGCCCGGGTTCGCCGGGTTTGACTGGGTTTGTCCGGGTTTGACTAGATCCGGGCTGATTGTTCACTGGGCAGCTGTAGCCCGTTTTTAGGGACGGGTCCGGGTTAATCCGTGTCAATCTGCGGGTCGACCCGCGGGTTGACAACCTTGATAAAATTGAAGGGGTCTAACGGGTCGACCCGCTAATCCACCCAATCCAACCCCAAAAATCACGGATTATTGGGTTCGGGTCATTCGGGTTTCGGGCTATAAAAACTTTTACTTTTCAGGCGGGTTCCGGTCGGGTCAATTGGTCCGGTTGTAATGTGACAGGTTTAATAAAAAGTATAATATGCAACTAAGGTTTAGTTGAACCAAAATTTTGACCTATGCAATTCAATTTCAACCGAAAAAACTAAACAACTACACAACAGTTTGATAAAAACAACCATTTCATAAAGGAAATTAGCTCAACTACACATGAAATTATAAAGAAAACATCAGACTTTAATGGTGATTTTGAAGTAGAAGGAACAAAGAAATCAAAAGAGAGTGCAATTCTTAACAACCCGATTCTGCTAATTCCTTTCAAAAGCAACTATTGCTGCAAATTGTCTGTTAAAGACTTTGCTTGGTCATAGTTTAGTTACAATTAGAGTAAAAATTCTACTCTACCTATTGTTAGCAAGGGTGCTCCTAGTGTGCAAACATTACAGAGGGATACCTTTTGGCGGGAAATACTACAACCTATTCCAAAACCAAAAAAAGATAGCAATATCATGTTTCTCATATCCGTAGATAAAACAATATCATCATTCAAGAATTGGATCAATATCATCATTCAGATAACACACATACAATGAAACATAAGTCTCCAATATTTCGGAGATGAAGATTGGACGTGCAAATCACTCGGTCTGTGCACCTCCAGGTAATCATGGATCCGAAAGAGAAAAATACGAATCGAGGCAATAGCGACAGGGTGATGATGTAAAACTCAATCACCAAAGTGAACTATTGTGCTGTAAATTACCCGAGGATGAATTAAACATGAGTTGTCATGCATAGATTTTACCAAACATCGACTCGAATCCCTAACAATCATTGCAATATTAAAAGCATACCTTACAAACTTTATTTACCTATGAATCCCCAAAATTTTCAGGGCAAGAAGAAGAAGAGGATGGGAATTATTGGGTCGAACCTTAGAGAGTAGAGAATTCGATGGAGGATAGTGATTGAGTAGACGGACGGTCGCACAGTAGGAGTGATGGTGACATTCGAGAGGGTAGGGTATTGACGGTGAGGCTTTGAGCGTATCAGCTCTCGATTGTGAGCTGCAAGGGTTTGATTGTGCATCATTGAGGTTTCTTGGGACAACAGCCGTACTACAGAATGGATGGACGCACCACGTCTAAGGTGCGAGAACGGGATTGAATGTCGATCAGTCTTGGACGAAAAATATATAGACAGGCTTGAGAGTAAGATCTTTGAGGAGGGTTGTAGGAGCTATCGGCGAAAAAACACAAAGTGGGCGAGATGAAGGTCTTTGATTCCTGTAGGGATTGGAAGACTGAATATCTTCAGATGGTGACTATAAAATAGATACGGCAGGTGGGACGGGACGGAGAAAGATTTTCGTCAGTTTGGAAGACAACGAGCAAGAAAGAGAAAGGTCACCGAAGTGAACCCTCCAAACTGTGCGGGAAATTCAGCGGGGGATTACATGGCAGAGCCTGTTATTTGAGATTGACTTATAGTGTTTTGTAGACCATACATTTGGGGTAAATCCATTGTTATAAGAATCAAACGGATCAACAGTTGGGCTAGTAGAACCGCCAAATTAGTTACGATAGCGGTCCGATCCATTGCTTGGAAGGTTATTGATATACTAAACGATTTTTCACAGTTCAACATATAACCATACGAACCATCACGGTTTAACTGGTTCACTATTT